AAGATTTTTCACCTGAAATGTTCAGCTTGACTTTTTAACTAGAACAGATCCTCCAAAAATATTTTCTTAGAAACCTTTAAAAAAAAGTTCAATAACTTGTAAGGGAGAGATTCCTAACTGCATTCATTCAAGTGTAATCCTAAAGTGTGCTAACATTGAGACTGACTGACGCATAGCAAGTTATCAGATTTCCAAAGATGTGAGGGAAGCAGTAAGACAGGCAGACTTTTCTTTCACAAAGGATATTCCACCTTTCGTTTGCCTCTACCTCTACCACGATTTCAAGGGATTCTTCAAATAAAATGGGGACATGTGAACCTGTCTTGCCTGACAATTTTTTTTTATTGAGTGCCATGATAACTTGGAGTTCACTTGTTACAAGCATTTTATGTAGTGGGTGAAACATCAGGGGAAAGAAAAGAACACTGTATTTCCTGAAAAACTAAGAACTAAATATACAAGTGTCTCTGTATAAGAGTTACCTGAAACAATTGGAAGGGGAATTAACACCTGGTTTTATGGGAAGCATTGGTTACCACTATCAGTTTTAATGAAGTGTATTAACTAAATTGTGTTCTGAGTATTCATTCAGCTCTGTTTATGGCACACTCTTGAGTACATTTACTGTTTGTCAGAAGTGCAAACTAGTGAACATATGAGGCTTTAAGACAGGCCATCTGTTAGTCTTAGACCCTTGGATAATTGTCAAACAGTTCTAAAAATAAGCACATACAAACTGCAAGGGGGTGCAAAGGTGATTTTTCTTTAGAGTATTACAGCAAAGGGAAGGCAGCAACCAAAACAATACAATTAAAATAAAATTAAATAAAGCCATTTATTCTGTGATCAGGGTTCTCTCTCTTTTCTGAATGTTTTTTTAATTTTATTCTCCCCTCTCTCCTGTTGGTCGTGACATCCCCTGAATGCCTCTCAAGTTTAGGATTAGTGCAGCACCAATTTAAGGCTCATTGTTTTTCCATAGGGAGCGATAATCTCCAATGGCTAAAGGAAGGGCCTTCTTGTGTCCTCTGTCTGAAGTAATCTCTTTATAAAGTCAAGGCACAAAGATTTTGATCTTTATTGATGGGTTGCTATTAATGGGAAAAATATATAACATTTCATACTTTAAAAAAAAAAGTGAGGTATTTTAGAGGTATTTAGAGCCGGTTGGTTTCAAACAGGACAAAAAATGTTTTTTGTAAAAGTGTTTTTTGTACAGATGATGCTTCCTCACTATTTAAATATTCTGTTGTGAGGTCTTTTTATTTGGTGGATGTTTTTTTAATATTCAAAGTGGGGTGCTTGTGAATGGACATTTGCACTGAGGAGCATGATTTACTGTTGACTGAACATGAGGGTCAGGGTTACATGCAGATCTCACCAGCAGAAGTTTTTGGTATTACATACAAGGTTTCTTTCTCTCACTTGCTGAGCTAAGGCCCATAAGAAATACATGAGGGAATGTAGAGGTTAAGGAGTTTCTCATGTTAGGCTAGAAAGCTGATGGATGATGGTGTGGGGTTGCACCCTGAGAAGTGTCCTGTGCTGATCTTCTCGGCTACTCAGATGCCCTAGGTAAAGGGAATAAAGGGTGCATGGTACAAAATAGCAGGAGGAGAAATTCACCAGGCTTTCGTGGGGATCTGGAGGACTCCCAGCTTGGGAAAAATATAGTGATTAATAGGTATTATCTTCCCAGATGTCACGAGACCATGCAATTGCATTATTACAACACCACTAGAGTCAACATTTCCAGTTTGTGATACTGCCTGTGGCGACAGTAACTTGCATTTACCCTGGCTCAGTGCAGCCTGGTGTGTTGTCTGGGTAGACAATAATATGTTCATTAGACTGACTTTGAAGAAGTGATGTGTGAGCAGTAAAATACTTGCTATACACTTATGCTCACAAATACCTAGACATGCTCATATTCTTAGGTCACCCAATGGATTAATCACCTGTTAAGTTGTATGTTGGCTCTTTGTCCTGTGAATCTATGATTTGTATAATTCTATTGAAATTATTTGATGAGAGGTTTCTATTCATTTTAATGGGATTTAGAATGTGTGGGAGACACTTTATAACCTTTAATAAGAGTCCCAATTCATATATAAAGCTGTAGCAGGCTTATGAGTTTCATTTGAGGACTGCATACATCGCCAGTGTTGTTGTGCCATCTCTTAACCCCTGTATAACATATGGTCTTTGAGGTGTATATGCTCAGATGCATAGACAGTATATCTCTAAAATGGCTTGTACAAAATACCTAAATACATAACAGATGCACAATGGCACCATAGACTGAATGTATTATGGCCTCAAACCATTATCACACCCCTCGCAGTTGCATTTTATTTTTTTCACCTGCTCCTGTGTTGTACACCTGTGACTTGTTGGCAGTGAATTGTGTTGCAGTGTGGGAGACTCCCAGCTTGACTGCCAGGCTTGTAGCTTTGCTCCATCATGCACTGCCTTTTTTTGGAGTTTTTCTCCCAATCTTTATACAGCTTGTAAGAGGGCTTTCTGCTGCTGTAAATGATCATTTTTCAAATTGGTCTCTTTTCTTTTTGATAAAAAATTGTGAAATGGAGTTTGCCATGCAACCGCTTCAGTAATATCATACTATGTACACATAAAACAACAAAGAAATGATCATCCAAGATACCCAACAAAGATGGCTTGAACCAACTGCAACTGCAAACCCGGAGAGTCCCTGGCAACCCAGATTGGAGGGCTCTTGATTGCACAGAGGTGCCAGTTAGTCATTTTTTAAATCGTTTTGTTGTCCACAAAACCTGTCACCCAATTTCTGTCACCCAATTCCAGGGTCACTGTTGCTTCCCAAAATAGTTCATTCCCCTTGAGCACTGAGGCAGCCATGGGGCTCAGGCAGTTGTCTTGTTCAGTGGATGTAACTTTCAGAATTGCTATCTATTTTGAATGATAGTTTGGCTCCTCTTTTTTTGTAACTTAAATTTACCAACCTTGCCATAGGCTGGGACTTCCCCGCTGTTGCTAGGCTGGTTGGTACTCCTGCAGAGTTTTCCAGTTGCTGGCTTGAAGCGATGTATTCTGGGGTAATAGCAGTGCACCCTCATTTTGTGAAAGGACTTAACAGGCACTGTTAAGAATTATTAGTACCAGGTTTTTTGTTAAGTTATAGCAAGCTGCTTTCCTTGCCAAAACCATAAATGCACATACATGGACTCGTACACAAAAAGAGCCTGGCTGGGAGATGGGGAAGATCTAGCATCAATTTCTGTGGCTGCTTCAGTTTTCCTTTGCAGGTCACCTTTAAGCATTTTTTTTCTGAAGTGTAACTTGCTGTGTTGAAATAGCCATTTGAGGCAGTCTTGTTTCCCACTGCAGCTCTAAACTACCCTTCTGTTGGTAGGAAATGAGGATTTTCACAGTTGGTCAACAAAAGGTTACTTATCAGAGGTACGTGTGTAGTGTAGGTATACTGAGAAATGCAGCGTGTTTACTGGCCTTCAGATTTAACACTTCTACCTGCCTGGGATAGCAGTCCAGGTTTAGTACAAAAGATGAAGTAAAAAGTGTATCTTGTCTTGTTAATGTAGGGTGTGCCAAAGGTTTTACTTATTGCCCAAGCTTAGTTTCTTTATTTCATTTATTACATGGTTAGCATATATAATAAATGAACTTCACCCCTCAAAGAGCTGAAATAGATTTTCAAGTCACTACTGATAAGGCTGAAATTCATGTGGGATAAAAATCTGGTTTTGGTGCTGTCTGTTGTCAGCAGTGAGCAGCTGCAAAGTTTGGGCTAACGTGTTAAAAATGCTCACGTAAGGGGACAAGTGGCCTCTTTTTGAGATCTGCACAGCGCGCTGCCAGTAAACCAACTCACATACCACAAATACAAAAAACCAAGAAAATAGTGAAGGCCAGAAGTGGTTAGGCTTTGGATGGAAGGGACATTTGTGTGGTCTGAAACATATTTTAACAGGTGAAAATTCTGACAGAAGGTGAGTACATTGCGGTAAGTCTGCACCTGCAGTATTTTTGGGGTAACTGTTATCACATACAGAGTCCCCACAGTCAGGAACTCCCAGGTACTTGTGCATGCAAGATGTGCATGTTTGCCCATTTGGCTCATGGAAGTGCAGCTTTTTCGTAGGCAGATGAAGGATTTAGCACCCACAGACATTGCGCCCAGGGATACTAGATCTTGATTTTTAAGGTCCTTCATTTATTAATTATTTGGGGCAGTGTCTAGTTGGCAGGTTGATTGCCTGTAATGCCTGTGAGAAAAAGTAGGTTTCCCCTAATTATTAACAATAAATCAAGGTCAGCTTATGGAAAAAGTATATTTGGCCCTTTTTACTGATAGATGGCTTGTATTTGGTTTATGAGCTTGTACATGACCTCGGCTCTGAATAACTGCTGTCTTTGGCATAATCTGTTCACATCTTCATGTAGACTCTGCTCACCCAACCAGTATGTCCTTTGTATTAGATGTGTTCAGAACATATTATTAACCCATGTTTGAGAAGGGAGGGTTCACAATGAGAGCTTCATTATCAGATTTAGAGCCACATACCATTCCTTTATTGACCTGCCTGGTGTAATCAATGCAGCAGCCACACAGGTTTGAAATCATGTTCCCTGACTGTAGACTGTGCACCCTGCCTCTAGTGCTGATTGTGCATTATCTTTTAAATGACACTGCCTAAATAAGTATGGATTTGTCTACCGTGAATAGCCTTGTTTCGATTTGAGGATGGTAAACCTTTCACATTTTTTTTTATTGGTATTCAGGATGACCTAAAAATAGAATTGTAATGAAGTGCACTAGAAATGGCCATTGTTAAAATGCTCAGGAGCATGCTTGAGCACAGAGAGACAGCTGCGTGTTCCTCGTCAGTTGTTTTTTTGGAAAAGGTCTTTTCAGTTATATTAATGTACAGGCTTTTTTATCAGTCTGATTGCTGCCTTATTTGGCTACATTAGTCCCATTCCATGACTTTGTTGCTTACCTTTGCCTTTGCGAATAACATGCAGCATTGCAATGGTCATTCTTCTGTAAGACTGCTAAAATCTCTATGTAGAACAAAGTGAAGAAAAAAAGGCAGATTTTAGGTTTGGTCATATTTAAATCATCTATAAGCAACATAGTTTTGATTCTGATTTCTTCTCACATTATTCAGATGCAGTTTATGGTACTTTAGTAAGTTTTCTGTTTCTGTCTGTTTCTCTGGTTTTGACTTTAAAATATTAAGCTTTATTTAGTATTGTAATATATAGGCATGAAATTGTTATGCTGTAGATGAGCCTTATGCAAAACAAACTACAGTCGTCCTTTTACATTAATTTATTGTCCTTTATTTTCACAAGGTATCATTCCTTCCATGTTCAAAACAGAATGCATCTGCCTTTCCCTTACCCTTTTGTCATGTTGAAGCCCGAACATCATTGTATAGACTTTCATAAGTCCGCCTGCCACAATATTGCTGGTAACTTTTGACATGATTTAGGAACTCAACAGCACTTCTGACACCTGGTGGTCAGTTATTGGGAATGCACAGATGAGAAAATAATACAGACTTCAAATGGGGTCACTGCTACCTAGAGAGAGTAGGCTTGCGGATGGAAGGTTCATTAGTTAAATGTTTCCACAAGACAGTTTTCATTAGATAGATGTCATTGCCATGATAAAGGAGCAGATCTGCTTTTTTTTCTGATTGAGGTATAACTGTAGATAGAATTTAGAAGGGCCAGATGATTTATGAAAAGTTAAAATAGCTTAATGTGTTTAGAAGTAATGCCATTGTATATAAATAATTTGAAATCCAAATTCATTCTGTGTTTAGAAACTTTTCCTTCCTGTTTGGTGGACCTGCACAACACCAGGACTAAGCAGATGGAAATCAGTAGAACAGAACTAGTGTGGAATAAAATGAAATGTGTGAATTTTGACAAGAGAGCCCTGAAGATTTGAAAACATTCAGGCCTCAGCCCTGAAAAGCCTATGCAGCCTACCTTTAGTCACACAAATGGTCCTGTTGAATATGCATGGCAATATAATTACCTCCATGCATGTTTCTAGAATTGGGGCTTTAGCGTAAGCAAAATTTACATTGCTTTGGATTGCACTGAAAATATGGCTCCAAGATTGCTTCATGATTTATCCAGCTTCTGCATCAAGTGGTGTGACTGGACTGTAATGTAACCCTCCTGTGTTCAGAGATATTGTGATGGCATGTGGTGGTTACAGCTACTAAAAATGAAGAGCGGTACAACAAACTATTCTTTAAAAAGATTAAATTTCTAGGGTATATGTCCAGCATTGTTTTTTCTGCTGTGTATGTTACCTTGTTGCCTCAACTGGTGCTTCATCTCTTATTGCCGGAGTATTTCTTGGACTGAAAAGTGTGTGTCACAATCTGGTGTCTCTTTCTGCCAGTGCTTATACCAGTTACTAGTGAGAATAAAGAGTAAAATATGGCAAGGGTTCCCACGGCGATTCAGATTTTTTTTTAATTGTTTCAGTGAAGGGATTCCCTAAAGGCAGATTTTTCTTGGGAAGTGTTACTGCTTTTCCTATACGTATTGAAAAACCTCATGGCTCTGTTTGGCTGATAGAATTTTTTTTTTCTAAGTTCATGCCAGCATTAACAGATCTATCAGTACAAAGCAAATGTGTCATATTGGCAGCTGTTACTTATGAGTACCTTTTCTTTATTGCATTTTGTTTTGTAATAATTGAGAAGCTTTTATGTTGAGCTCTGCATAAATGGTACTGAGTAGGAGGGTATGGGCATGCTTTCTATTATTCTGCCCCTCATGTATGTCTCCTTTTTTCGTCTTTCCAGAACCACACATTGAGCCAGCACGCACAGTGAGCCACTGGCACTACAGGACACCTCTCTGCAGAAGACTTGACGGAGGCACAGTGGGGAGGACCATTTGAACATTACATCCAATCAAAGTGTCATTTGCAACCCAGATGTAAAACTCTAATGATTTGGCCATGAGGCGCTGCTATTATAAGCAGCTGGAAATGAATATTAATGGAAGAGATTAAAAGTATTCCATGCTCAGTATTTTTTATTGTCCTGCTTCAGCTAGTGTACTTTAGAGCTTCTGCTTCTGACTGAATTTATAGTGTTAGATAAATCTGCTTTGATGCTGTTGCCTTTTGTTGCTTCTTGTATTATATTGATAGTTAAAGATTAGGTGTGATTTTTTTTTTTGTTAACTGCCTTTTAATTGCAACTTTAGGTAATTGTGCATTGTGATGTGATTGCTTGGCTATTGTCTGAATATTTCTTTTTAATTTTTTTTAATTAAAGACTAATGCTTTGATTGGATTTGCCAGTTCACCGGACAGTGATTAAAACTATGTAATGAATATAATCGGTTTCAGTGCAACTGGATGGTCTGCTTTATAAATGTGACTTAATCTGATTGCAATAACTAGTACAGTTCAATAAAGGGAATACATGCAATTAGTGTCGGAGTTTCAATTCATCTCTGGGTGCACTCACTGAGTCATCCTCACCCATATGTTTGTGTCAGAAGACTGAAATATAAAATAATGTATTCCTGTAAGCCAGAGAATGGTCTCCACCCCAGGAAAAGTGAAGCAGTACAAGAAGTGAACAAGACTTATGTCTGTATGTAGCAGTTTATTTTCTCCTTGAGGCATGCACAAAACTCCTTTCAGGTTAATGTGAGTTCTACACATGCATTACAATGGCACAATCACTACTTCAGAAATTAATTGCATAAGACTTGTGTGTGGGATGGTTGCCCCAAAAAGATATTTCATCTGTTTAATTGAGTAGCTGGGCACCCTAAATTCCTAATGAAGCTGATGAGATTTGAAGAGACAGGCATCTGTTAGGATTGGATTCCCTCCCTCTGCTGTTTTGTTTGTTTCTATAAAAAGTAATTAACTTTCATGGTTGTATACTAATGCAGTGACTACTGAGCCAGGCCTCTGGGATCTGGTTGGGAGACTGTGTGTATATCGGTCACATGCACTTCTAGATTCACTGGGATTGGTTGTCTATGTAACTGCCTCACACCTGACCTGTCAAGCTGCCATAATATTATTATTATAATATTAATATAGCTAATTAACAGATTCTTTTTAACATACTGTATAGTAATGATATAAGGTTTATCCCCAGTCAAGCAGTTATTCATTTAAGTGAACACCTTTGGAAAGTTAGTGAGATGCTATGTTTATAATATCGCCTGCTAGCATGAATCATAATCTCTGTCAAAGTACAGTTGGGATACCTGATGTGAACACATTTCCCCGTTCACAAGGACACAGTGCTTTGTAAGACTGCAGCATAGGAACATGAATGTTTAGAAGCTTTTCAAATTTTCTTTACTAAAATTAAGCAGAACTAATTATCACCCTGTTTCTGGGCTTAGAGCATATCGCAAACATATCGTAGGAAGTACTTTTCAGGATTATATAACCTTGAATGAAAAAACTTAACTAGCCCTAAATTAATTTATAGAACACATTGCAGTTGGAATATGGTAGATAACAAGTGCAAAGGTTGAAGATGCTTTTAGTACCTTCTCCTACATACTATAGTTTTAACCTTTAATTTTCCTCCTTGATTATCTTCTATGTTGACACATCTTTTTTTCAAGGTAGTTGGAGACTCCCATGTAACTGAGGGCTGACTAGTAGGCCTGTGCAAAGCAGCTAGTATTCGCTTTGGATTTGGATTTGGCCGATTCAGGGGACAGTGATTTGATTCAGTGATTCAAATCACTGTCCTGAATCGATTTGGCCGAATCTGATTCAGAGATTTGGCCGCCATCGAATCGGCCGAAACTGTGAATCAAATAGGCCCTATCCCCTGCTTGCTCTCCCAGCCCCATCAATTGCTGCCCTGCCCAGCCCCACGCTGCATGGGGAGCTCTGCCATGAGCCTCCATCCCCCACCCACTCTCCCAGCCCCCTCCATGGCTGCCCTGCCCAGTCCCAGCTCCTGGCTCTTTAAAAAAAACAAAAAAAAACCCAACAACAAAAGTCCTGCACTCACTGGATCCTGCCAGGCACGGGGGTGATCTCTGCTGCACCCCACTGCCCTGTGCTGCTTGTAGGGCTCTGCCATGAGTCCCCAGAAGCCTTGAGGCTGCTGCAGCAGCCGGTGAGTGTGGGCCTTTTTTAAAGCCAGGAGCTGGGGCTGCATGGGGCAGCTATCGACGGGGCTGGGAGAGCGGGTGGGGGATAGGGGCTTGTGGCAGAGCCCCCCACACAGGGCAGGGCAGGGCAGCGGGGATCACCCAGGGTGAGTGGGGGCTTTTTTTCTTTTTAAGAACTGGGAGCTGGGGCCAGGCGGGGCAGCCATTGCGAGTGGGGACTGCCTGAATCTCTGAAGTGCTCTGAATCTTTTCTGAATCAATTCACAGAGCTTTGAATTGTGTCAGACCTTTTTAGTGGTCTCCTGATTTGATTCAGAGATTTAGCCGAATCTCCTCTGAATTGAATCAGCACCCGAAGCTTCGCACAGCCCTAGCAACTAGGTATCAACAAGGATTGGGATCCACTCCTAAACTAGCGGGGATGAGGGCAGGTGTAAATTATGCATAGCTTTTCTGAGAAAGTTCCAACTTTCATAGTAGAACACGCTTCATTTCATAGCTTGGGCAACTAACACCTCTTTTATGCTCCCAGTGGGTGCATCTACATGTGCAATTAATGTGCCTGAATTTTCTGTGCAGAAAATTTAGGCTCATTAAAGTGCTCCCAGACACACGTCTACACATGCACCCACAATGGGAGCAAATTGAGCCCGATAGGAGCAGCCCAGCCCAAGGTTGCTCCTGCTCTACTCTGCCCTCCTGCAGCAGCCAGGGGGAGCTCCAGACTCCCCTGGGTGCCATCCCCAGGCTGGCAGGAAGCATAGAGGCTTATATCCGAATTGTGGAGGGCAGGGGGAGGTGTCTCAGCTGGACGGGCAGCTCTGTCCCAGCTGGGGAGAGATAGGGCTGGCCCTGAGCCCCAAGAGGGCATGGGGGAAGCTATCCTGGGTTGAGGGGAGCTGCCCCCATCTCAGGCTTGGGGC